TTTTTAATTTACTCTTAATTAAGATTGATCTTGATTGAAGAAACTTTTATCTTAAGTACTGCCTCACAACTAATATCAAATTATTACAACTGCACTGAATTTCATCTATCGAAATCCCAATGAAAAAGTAGGATATAATTGAATGTGTAACTTATTCGGATTTCCAACATAGATGTACCTTCTGCCTGCAGTTTTTCTTTACAAGCCCATTGGCACGTGATCTCTCTGGTCTGCCTGTAAGCTACACGGAACATGATGGGCAAAATCTTACCAATGAAGAGATCGAGTAAGTCGTTTTTTGGTACTCAGTGTTCTGAGGTTAGTTTCAGTCAACTTATAGATGCACAAACTCGCTACATGTAGAAGGCAGTACCCTGTATTGTTTTTGTACCTAACAAGTGAGGTTAAGCCGACTCTGGTATGCGTTTATAACATGAGACTTCTTTTCTTAAATAATACTACCTTCTGTCCTTAATATAAGATCCTATTTGACTTTTATTTTGATCCTAAATATAAGACCCCGATCCATTTTGTCTCTCATATTTATACATTTTTTTCAAAGTAGCCCTTCTAACAATGATAGTCCTGATCAATACACTTGACTAATAAGGATATTTTAGGAAAAACAATACCTATTTAGGACAAATAACTAACTCAACTTACTTTCTTAATTTCCTCAAATTAATCAATCAATGGCTTTTATAATTAGGACTGGAGATAGTATATGTAGGCATGAGCAGTTAGCAAGATAAGGCTTGTTGTAATACTTGCAGGAATGTGAATGCTAAATTAAGACGATCTCATACCCGTCATGAGAGGCGAAGGAAGAATGTGGCATCCGGCTGGCCAACAGAGCATACTGTATCTTCTAAAGAGGTGAAAATCCTCCAAGCCTTCTGCTCTGTTCATAGTATATGTATTTATTTATGTATTCCTGTTGTTGTTCTACGCATGTCTCCTTGTTGTAGAACTAAAAGTAAAATTTTGAAGATTCAAGAATTTTCTGGGAGCAACTCAATAATCTGATTTATGAAGTTCAATAAGAGGAAACATGCATGACTAGGCAGTCCATTTGTAAGCTTGTAGGCTGCAACTAGTTAAACCCTAAACTCTAAACACCCAAAATACAGCTCAGCCGGCCAACCTCAAACAAAATGCTGATGATAAACCTCAACTAAGAATTAAACTAAAAAAGCAACTGCGTTACTCATGCTAATGACATGCAAACCACTGATATGATTGACGGTGTTATATTAAAATTTAAGTTCTGACCTTGAGAAGGACCATTTAATTAAGTTGTCTCATTTAGCTCCCCGACAGTTGTGGGCGTTGATATTTGCCCTGTTAGTGTTGACTTGCTCCACATCAATCCAGAGGAAGCATCAGACAGATTGAATATTTATGAGGTCTCCATTGTGTCCACGATACAGGAGACCACAACCTGTAGAAGAGAGCTGGTGTTTTTTCTGCACACGTCCTTTTAAATAATTATACCAAAGATGTTTAACCATATCATGAGCTTCAATTTTTACCGGGATATACTAGATAATTCGGTGGATTTTTTTTTTTTGGTCAATTCGGTTGATTTTTCTGCATAATATTATGATTACTGCCTATTTGATGCTTGATTCATTGTTAGGAAGCAAAAAATATGGGAAGAAAAATTGACTAATGCGAAAGTCACAATCTATCAATAAGGGTAGTGCCAATATCGTGTATAAAACATAAATTTCCTGATTGATAATGTGATGCCAAACCTAAAGGAAAGAAACTAAGAACACGGTTGATTAGCTCAAATATCAGATATACTGATATCAATTGGAAAAGAGAAGATCATAACTGAGTAGACTTATGTTAAGGAGCTTGTATTTCCTTCAAAACAAGAAAAGAGAACCTGATGGCATTCTAAACGGTGTTCTTCACATGTTATACCAGGAACTGAGCAAGGAAGTTGAGGCATTTGTTCCTAATGAAGAACAGGGCAGAATCCCCCCAAGCAGTAGGACATCATCTGTTTCTGACACTGCTGAGTCAAAGGATCATCCATCTCCTCTCATTCTTTCTCCAAATTTGGCTTTTGGTGATCAAAAGTTGTCCCACAGAATCCATCGCCATGTTAATGTCAAGAACCTTCCTCCATTACCCAAGTCTAAACAACATGCGTCCAACAAACAAGACAACAACTACGGACCACACCGGATCCTCAGGTCAGCTTCCTCCAGAGAATTTAGAAACCCAAAAAAGGGTGTCTTTGGAATTCATTGATAGGTCTCAACAGAACGGGTGGCTTTTTCCCTTCTTTTGGCCATGAACAGGTGGCATTTAAACCAATATTTTTTAAAATGTCAACTTTTTTTAATTTTTATTTTCATTCTTTTCATTAATTGTGACTTTATGAAGAATGAAGATGATCTCGTGTTGTGTCAACTTCTTTGGTCAAGGTCATTCTCAAGCAGCCTTACCCTACCCATCAGGGAGCCGTGTGACTGGCGATCCCTCTTTCCCCTACATCAATTTTTGTTTCGGAAAGTTATATGATGATTTAAACGACTGTTTTAACTTAAGTAAACGTTATAAATTAAACTGAAACCCAGAATATTAACGTCATATAAACGGAAAGGAGTATCGTAATTATGTTTAGCACTGAATTCGGCCTGATTTGTAAAATTACTGCTTCTTTTTTTTTCCCGTCTCAACGTCCTATGTATAAATTAATGAAGAAAAAGTAGGTATCTTTGCGGGAAATCATCAGATCAGATTCAATATACATGACGTGTATGACGAACTTTAGGTTTTGAATTTATCGCATCCAAACTATTATAATCATAAATAAATTAAAAATTTTCATGCACTGAATGGAACCCTAGCACTTAATGCAAGGTACGTGGCAAAGCAAAGAAAAATGTAGACTAGAGTATTAGACATATACATAAAAAATAACCATCCTAAGCCAATTGGAAGTTCTTCAACTTCCTCCTTTTAAAACATGAATTGGTCAATTTTAAACAGAACTAGATATAAATATTAGGCAGACTAATCTCTCTTTAAATAGTAGGAGTCAAGAGCAGATCTCTCTCAGCTAAATTAAATTTTTACATTTTATGGGGACCCACGATTGATTAGACTTGTATAAGTGGGTTAATTAAAAAATAATGATTGATTGATTAGTCTAATCCATATATTCCATGACCTTAAGTTCCACTTCTTCTTGTTCACTCTTGGGGCATAGTCCATTACAATTATCCATTTCATCTTCTCAGCATACAAGCAATGCGTTATAAAAAGAAGCAAACAATATCCCCCGATGAGTGAAATAATAAATTGCATCATATTCATGTTATAACCCAGCTTCATTTTTTCCTTTTGGACCGGTATAACCCAGCTTCATACGTCTTATAATACCCCTTCCATGGCATAATATAATCACTAATTGTGTCTGAACAAAATATAAAAGAAGAGTTAACGAGGGGTTAATATATATTTGGTTCCTCAAGTTTTAAATCATAGGTTTTGGCTCTTCAAGAAGCCAAATAGTCTGAATTTTTATTGAATTATAAAAACCAATATTTTAAATAAAAAGAAATTTGAAGGATTAAAACCTATAATTTAATCAAAATGAAAGCAAATTTAAGCGACCAAAAATTGTATTAAACCTAATTAGGGTCATGTATGCTGTTCATATATAGAAATAACCTTATTATGGCTGGCCGAGTTTGTCTTCATGGATAATCAAACCTTTTTTTTTTTCTGAATTTAAATGCCGGTATCATCACATTAATATTAAAAATTAAACCTCAATTCTGAAGTGACACTTAGAGGTTGGACCCACTTCTAAGGTGAGGCGAGGCATGCTTTGATTTGTGATTTCATATAAATTATTTCTCTGACCTTAAATATAAGACCCCTTTCGTGATATAATTTACACTATGAAAGGGATTTTATATTTAGAACTAGAGGAGTAGATTAGATGATGTACGCTGTTTAATTTGCACTGATTAAAGAACTATGAGTCCATGTCATTAAATTTAGTAAAAGAATAATCTGACCTAAATTAAAGGGAAAAAATGAGCTGTTGCAAGCCAAATATGTCTAATTGAAAAATTATTTATAAGACTAGACTTCCGACAAAAATTAGCGTGTGTGAATGTAGATATATAAATATATATTTATATATATAGAGGGGCGGGGGCCGAGAGACGGGTTCCAAGATTGCTCATCAGAGGTTCATTAAGATGTTTGGTTAAATATTGAGATGCACTTAGTTGACCATAAATCAACCTCAGTTTCTTGGAAACTCACCAATATCAATCTCTGCGAATTCACTACTCTCTGGACTTATCCAGCTGACAGATGTAAGTGTATGATGTCTGAAAAATTGAGTTACATTATTCTAACATGATTTGTTATGAATTATATATGCATTTGATATTAATAACCATGGATGTTGATCATAATTAAGCACATACAGTTCTACTTGATATAATCTCAGAAGCATTTTCTGGGATAATCGCGTGAATCAGAACCTTTATGATTCTAAAGAAAATCTATTTCAGAATCATAATCTCAGCTCTTACCTCACAAACACACTACGTACTTCCCTTTAATTTCTTGTTTGATATTTCCTCTCCTGTTACAAAAGCACCCCACAGTTAAACCCTTAATTAATCTCTCCCATGTCTAATATAATTTTCACTGCCAAACTCCTCCATCAGCACCTCCAACACACATACACATAAAATCTCCAACAGCTGACATAATATTTGCAAAGCAAACAAGTTTTACAAAGAGAAATAACTAAGCTTGTTTCCGTTTGGTTAAAACAAAGCTTAGCTTTCCCTTTTTCCTTTCCTTCCTTAATGTGACCTTCAAAGATGAGACATATGAAAGATCTTCACAAACTCGGTGAAACTTATATAATCAAGTCTAGTTCTTAATTGTACGTATTTTTTTGCCATCAGATTCTTGAATAAATCCATGAAAAGCAATTTTCTTTTCTTTTCTTTTTTTACAGTTTCAAGATTACCTCGCAAGATTTTTATTGAAAACTCTGACAGCTAATTATGTTTAGCAGCTAAGACAAACTTTACCTAATCAGGTATTAAATAAGGATGTGAAGCTAATAATTAGTAGCCGTATCGGTGAACTTGTTCTTGATCCACTTGAAGCTGTTTCTGACGCTGGATTTAAGCTTGCCCTCCACAGTGAAACCATTATAAGCTTTGATCCTCTTCTTCCTCTTGAACTCTGCATCATTGGAAGTGTAAAAGCCATTTCCTTTGTGGCTCGGTCCATTGAAGCTGTAAGAGTTGGATCTCTCTCCGAACCCATTGAACTCTGCGTAAGAGCATGATGACTCAGGAACCGACTTGCTTTTCTCCATTAAAGCTGAGAAGCTTAGCTTCAAAGCCTCTCTCTCTCTTGATCGATCTGTTTTGTCTTTTAGCTCTTGAGGATCGGCCTGCATGAACACACACAAAGTGGTTGAGGGTTTTTAAGAGGAAGGACGAAGGAGAGAGACAGAGAGAAGGGGCATTATGATCCGGTGTGGTGGCACCCCATGTGTGATGTTGGACAGCTGCAATGGGAATCATGACTTGAGGGGGGAGGTGGGGCCTACTTGCCGCACAAAGACACGTCACCGTCTGCTAGTGATGACACAGATTGAATTCACTTGCATGATTTACAAAAGTGAACGCTGATGATAACGCGCATGATCCTTCAAGCATATTCTCACCAAATTGAATTTTTTTTTTTATTTGTATAGGACGGAATATATATAAATTGATGTGTTAATGGGGATTGAGTACCAGGGGCTAATTGATCACAGCGCGATCAAACCAGATTTGAATACTCGATAAGAAAAATATTTATATTTAGTATTTGGTAGTATCTCAAACATGATTGTCTCTAATAAGAAAATATCTGGGCTTAGTAAAAAAAAATATCAATTGATGTAAAAAAATGTGAGTATATCAAAAATAAGTGTTTATTACTTTAAGAATATGTAATTCTTTTTACCAATAAATTAGTCCCTTTTTTCCTGGAATTTTGACATGGATCGTGAGAAAATGTTAGGGTTAATTCATTAAAATGTGTACAAAATGAAGAAAATATAACAAATTCACATAGTTGAGGTAGGGACCACGCTATTTGATAATGGTGGGGTCAATTTGGTTGCTTTGTTTAGTGTTTCTGCGATGGGATAAGGCACTATGTTTTGCTTTGTACAAAGTGCCCATTCTTCATTTTCAAACATCAATTCTCTATTTTATTTGTTTGGTGACGGGGGAACTTGCATATATCATGTCCCATTTATCTTTGGATCTTTACCATTAAAATTTGTACATTTACTTTAATATTAGATGGATATATATAATATAAATAAGCAGAAGGCCTCAATAATTAAAAATTAGTCATTTCCTCATTTTCTACTCACGTGTCAACTTTTTTAATATTTACATGTGGTTAGGATTTAGATGTAATTAATTTTCTTATTTGAGACACACATATATAATTCTCTACCATAAATAACTAAATTTGCAATAATTTAAAAGGTTGCATGAAGTTCCAAAGACTTGAAAATAATGCAATGCCTCTTTGATTTAATCTTTCCCCCTTGAATTGCACGAACCTGAGGTCTGAGGTAATGTAAGATATATTAGGTGACACTTCGGATGGTTTTGCAAACATTTGAACATATATACATTTGGCATATATAGGTGATCGATGAAATTTCCCCCAAATCTTGACCATATATTTGTAACATATGTAAGCCTCTATTTGAGTATTTCCCTAAAGCTACTCTGTAGGTAATTTAACATTTTAATCTGAAAAATTAGAAATTATTGTTGATACATATGTTTAATTTAGTGAAAGCAAAGGTACCAAGTCATGTGCCACTATATATTTGAAGATGGGTGACAAAATTCATTTATAGTGCTGTGTGGGGCTTCCACATATTAATTGCGCGCACACACACACACACATATTTCAAAGATCGCCTCCATCTTCATATGCTTTTTCATATGCGTAAATATTGATCACTTAATTTGTGTTTATATGTATTAGCATTAATATAAAATAATAATGGGACAAAGCAAGATGGCTCACCTATATATATTTCCGGACGAATCTCATTATTACACTTAGGAAACTTCCCACCTTGTCATATAATATCATTCTGATTTATACCTTCTTCGTACCTTCACTCAACAACTTAATTGAGTGATGTTATTCCCATTTCTCAAGCATGGCGATAAAAAATGTCACAGTTAAACCATTGATTATCTCAGGGGTAATTAAATTTACTTGTACATTATACTCCTCTCACTTTTAATATATCACCTAATTGGAGAGTTGATATTAGTCCTATATATAATATCTATTTTAAATATTTATTTGTTTTTTTAAATTAACTCTGATTGATATTCCCTAACAATAATTAAGTAGAAGAAGAAAGAAAAAAATTAAAGAAGATGCTTATGATATTTTAGAAAAGAAATATATCATATTAACTAATTTAACTAACATTTATAATCTATTCGAATTAATTAATTATATCTTATACTCCTCTGGTCCTAAATATAATATCCATTTTGTAACTACAAAATAGATCTTGTATCTTATGTTTAGAACCGGAGGAGTATCTTATATTAAAGATTAGAAGAATATTAATTTTCTGTGGCTCTCTTCAGAAATTGTTCTTTTTTGGGGGCTGCAAAAAAATTAGTACCACAATTATGAGTGTGGGTCCAATTTATAGAGAAGGCCAACGAGAGCCCTAATTGAAGTGTGAAACTGTGAACGTATCTTGACGCAGAAAGCAACCGCATGCAACTTTTTTAATCCTCATTTTGCTTTCTCAAAGAGCACCCACTCTCACACATATTTTATCAAAAACTTTTAAATTAAAATAACCTAATTAATCAGTAACTTATCATGAATATATATTAATTAAGTGTTAGTCTTTGATTATTTTTTTACATATTTGTATGGTTAAATAATTATTAACTATTAATTTGCTGTCCCATTTCGTCGTTTGAACAAATTTATCAAAGAGGCAGACATCATGATGCTGCAAATAACAGGAGATGCAGTCCTTCACAACGGAATATGAGAATGTTGGGTTAATAATAATGAATGAATGGGGTTAAAATATGATATGATTAATTGCAATTAAGTGTATTATGATATCATTACTCACTCTATTAAGTCGAGTTTAAACGTTTGTAAAAATGTGTTTAACTTGTAAGTTGCAGGGTAAAGTCCACGATTAATTTCCGTTTGAGGTAGGTAGGCGTGCACATAATGATTTAGCCCAATCCAATATAATCATACCTTTCACTGACACCGCTTTAACTATTTGTTATAGAGGGCAATCATCGACAAAAAGTACGTCGCGTGAAGAAACATAATTTAACAACAACAAAAAAGCTTACAAGTACTCCCTCTATTTCCTTTTTTTTTTTAGAAGTAACAACTATCATTCGTTTCGAATAGGATTATCTTTAATAGGAAGATACTTATACTTTAGTAAAAAAACACAACTATCATTCGTCTCATATCCCTAAATATAAGTAAGATTTACAAATGGTCTTAAATTTTTCTGGCAAATTTCCTATTTTTTCCTGTTTATTACTTGTTTTAATACTAACATATTAATTATCTTATTTTCAAAACTATCATCTATTTTCGTCACACATTCTCTCTTTTTTATAATTTTTTTTATTATAATAATTTTCTTATCCTCTTTCTTATATTCTTTATCCCTCGTAAATAAGGGTATTTTCGAGAAAAAAAACTTTCAAATTTTACTCATTTATTGTCCTAATTTTTTATCTACGTAATGTAGTCTAAAGTTGCTTATAAAAAGGGATGGAGGGAGTACAATACTACATCCAATCCTTAATATAATAGCTCATTTAGTTTTTATTTTGATCATAAATATAAAACTCAAATCTACTTTCTTTTTCATAGTTATCTATTTTTTTTTTCAAAGTAGTTCTTGTAATAATAGTAGTTCGAATTAATAAATTTGATTAACAATGATATTTTAGAAATAACTAATTACGAATAACTAATTTAACTAATTTTTTTAATCTACTCAGATTAGTCAACTAACTTTTACATTAAGGACCGGAGGTAGTACTACTTCCGATCCTAATTATAAGAGCCAGTTGACTAATGTGAGAAGATTAAGGAAGTAAGTTGAGTTAGTTATTTGTCCTAAATAGGTGTTGTGTTTCCTAAAATATCCTTACTAATCAAGTATATTGACTAGAACTCTTGTTATTAGAATGGCTACTTTGAAAAAAAAAAGTATAAATATGAGAGACAAAATGGAGTGGGGTCTTATATTTAGGACCAAAATAAAAATCAAACAGGGTCTTATATTAAGGACCAGAGGTAATATTATGGAGAGTAAATAATTTGAATATTGAAAGCAAATTTATTACAAAATATTAACCTTATTCACCCATATTACAGCTAGCTAGTTTAAGAGGTAAGAGTGAGGTGGAATATAATATGAATACTAATAAGTTCTTCAAAATTTTGACTTATAAAAAAGACAATATATATCATACAAAGTTTCCTCATCTTTAAAATTTGAATCATATGCAAACAACAACACTTACCCTTAAAAATTGAAATTTGACAAACAATAATCCACTGAATTAAACTTCCCAAATTTATGCATATATAACCTCATCTCGTGTTTGTTATTTTACCATCACAGCGTAATATATCATTCACTATATACCTCCTTAAATTTTGAGTTATATGGGTGTGTATATAATCTTCTAAATTTTGAATTATGCGCAATGAAATGTACGAATATATTCTTTTAGTGAAATAATACCCAAATTATAATATGAGAATTATTTGCATTTTCCCTTCCGATAGAGAGTTATTTGCATTAGTGTAGAAGTTAAAGGGGCCTTCGTCATAAAATTTTAAATATTAATTAAGCTATTTATTTATAAGGCCAAAACATACTCCTCAAATTAGCAGTATAAAATTCACAGCTTGCCGCAATTATGATTATTTTTGGGCCTCAAAGATTTGTATGAATTCAGATGTCTCGTTTTCATAACAGATAACCCCTTTAAAGCAGACAGACGCCCGTTATTTGATGGGCCGTGGGGGCCCAATAAATCTAGACCCAGAAGAAGCGGCCCAAAAGGGATCAATGTTGAAATCGAAAATAGATACACGCCCAGTGGGACTCGAACCCACAATCGCTTGATTAGAAGTCAAGCGCCTTATCCATTAGGCCATGGGCGCCTTTGTTGATTGCAGCTCTTAAGATATATATTTTATTTACATAAAAGCATGTCCTTGTGAAGATTTGTAGAACAAATCAAGTAGGATCATTTTTAGTCTCAATTTTTCTGCATAAAGGAATGCCTATTTATTTATACTTCTAATTATAATTTTGATGGAAGCACAAAGGAAGAACAACAAGTGGCTTAAATTTTA